CGTGGAGCCAGAGCTTGGGGCAGGAGCAGTGTGTGGAGCCCCATGGCCCCCCTGCCTAGAAGTCGCACCTGCTGCTGGCCACTTCGGGCCCGCAGCGCAGTCCGCGGTGCATCCTGGATGCATCGCTGACTGGGAACCACTGGAGGTAAGTCCGAGTCCCAACCCCTTGCTCCAATCCCCTGCCCCAGCCCTGAGCCCTCTGAAACCAGGAACCCCTTCCTGCACCCCAAACCCCTCATCCCCAGCCCTGAGTCCCCCTCCTGCACCCCAAACTGCTCATCCCCAGCTCAGCACCCTGACCCCCTTCTGCACCCCAACCCTCTGCCCCAGCCCAGAGCCCCCTCCCACACTTTGAACCCCTCATTCCCGGCCCCACCCCGCAGCCCTCACCCCCGCACCCTAGCCCCTACCAAACCCCTTATCCCCAGCTCCGTTGAGTCGTGGGCATCAACAGTTTTCTTCAACTGGGTCCCCAGAAAAAAAGTTTGAAAACCACTGCCCTAGAAGAGTACTTAAAAACTTGTGCTAGTGCAGATTGTAGTGGCACCCATCCTCAGTGGGTAGGTTAACTGTGAGCACTGCCTTCCTCTTTGTTTCTAAATGCAATAAAAGGAATTGGTTGTGATATTTAGAAGCCATGATCTAGGACACAGCTCCATCTCCTTCTGTCTTGTCATTGTGGTTAAGGTCTTTGGGGTTCCATTTGTTGTTGCTCCCTGGAGTTACATTGTCCAAGTTTAGCAGCAGTGCCTTTTAAAAAACAATTCATAATGCCCAAAATGCTATTTACCCTTATTTGTGCAGGTATTTATACTGTGGTATCTAAGCACATTGAATCCTACTTTTTACATCACATAGCATTTAAAATTCAAGCACAGAGACTTCTCGAGTGATCGGTATGCATTCAGCCACCCTTATGAATCATCACTATTAGGAAACTCCCGGTAGCTCTTGGTATAAGGCAACTTAAGCCATTTTTAGTTAATGTCTTTGTGAATTATAAGGCACAACAGATTTGAACTGAGAACAAAGTGTTACAAGGGTGAAATAAGAAATATCCTTTTCAAAATCTGGCAAGTAATTAGGATGTAGTAGTTCTAACAAATATCTCTAAAAAGTTTGGAAGTTTTATTTTAGGTCAAAATAATTTGAAACAACGCATCTTTACTAAAGTGCTCACTAGTTTTAAAAGTCTGTTATAGCTGATCTTTATGTATCAATAGGTTTCCCTTTATGGGTCAGCCAATGTCAGGAACGCAGACTAGTGAAGGCCAGAATCTTATGCAGCAACCAATCACACAGGTAACATAACTTGATATGAGAGTTACAGCAGAAGTGTTGATAAATTATGAATATTTTATTTTCTTCTTAAAAGGAATTGTGATTTAATCACTTTGCTTATACATTTTACTGGTTTTTAGGATGGAAGTTTGACACCTCAGATTTCCAGGCCTAATCCTCCAAATTTTGGTCCTGGTTTTGTCAGTAAGTATAAACCTATAATTTCTTGTATATGAACTTGGGGTTTCATATTGCAGTTTCTTTTTTAAAGGGAAACGTCACACATGAATACTTGATTGCCAAAAAATATTTTCCTAGCTCCACTAATTCTCTGGCTTACTTAAAATTTATCATTTCATAATTATGATATTAATTCAAAACAAAATACAAAATCTTAAAACATTAAAACAATATCAATAGTTCAAATTAACATTTTATATAAAAAAATCTTCAAAAACATCGTGAGGAAAGATGGAAATTTTATACAAATATGAATCTAATAGTACTAATCATATAGAATCATAGAATCATAGAATATCAG